TGCGGTCAAACAAATCTATATATATATATATATATATATATATATCTTTTGAATGGCTAGGTTAAATTTACGAAAAACATTGAATACCTTTATTGGGCTTGAATTATTTACAGAGTGTTAAAAAATTAGGAAAGGCCCAAGTTCCTTTATATTTAATTTTTTTTTATTTTTATTAAAAAAAAATACGACCGAGTACCCAAAACAAAGAAAAATCAAATTTATAATTTTTGTCGTAATTTTTGAATTCAAACTTCGTTTTTTAGTACAAACAACTCATACAATCCTAAATATAATAAAAATAAATATAAAATTAAAAGATGTTTTCCGTATTTTTGAACACCCTGTGTATAAAAAGTTTAAAATATAAAAAAAATTGGGTTTTTATTAAAAACTCAATTTTTTTTATATTATATTTTTGCCGATCAAAACTTTTCATTAGGAATGACTTTTTTGGAAAAATACAAAATTATTTCCTCTTCTAAAATCAATTCGGGGCATAATGTAGATTTGAACAAACTGCAATATCCAGTGCTCGTCGATGCATTTAAAGTCGTCGAATTACCATAGCGTCGCCTTCAGGAGAAAATCACGTAACTCCACATTTTCATTAAAATTGTATTTTAGTGGCATCTGTTAGATAAAACTGTAACTAATTTATATGCAAGTTACAGAAGTCCTAAAATAAACCGTTAATTTTAAATTTAGAAAAAGAAATATACGTATCTCCAATCGTGGAGGAGCGTCCAGGGAATAATGCCTAACTCCAATATACAAATCAGTGCCATTGACAAGTATAAGTTATTGCCTAGTTATTTTTTCTGTATGTAAGTATGAAAGATTGTATAGTGTGTAAAGTTAAGGTACCATGAATAATTTAATGTTACTTTTATTAACATAAAGTACATATTGGAGATACGTAATTTTCCATTAAACAATTTTTTGGCGGTAATGTGGAGATACACCAATGCACCTTTAATATGTTTTTCTTTCCTCCTGTAAAATTTTACAACATGGAGTTAAGCAATTTTCTCCTGAAGGCGACGATAGTCGAGTTTAGTTTTGTGTCATAACCTCAAATTTTCGATCCAATGCTATCTCTGGCTCGGCTTCTTCTTTGATTACGTGCCTAGGGTGTAGACATCGCTAAATTAAAGTTTTTGGTTTTCTGCTCCATGTTTGAAATGTTTTAAATTAAAAGTTATCCAAAGCATGGTTAAATAATGCATTTTTTAAAACATCAAGTATTTGTTTTAGTGTCTCAATTTTTTATTTTTTTTAAAACAATACTAGATTTTTTTGCTTATTTTATTTAAATACTAAGTTGTTTTTGTTCATAGCAATGTAGAACAATGTAATTAATTAAACTAAAGATAATTGAAAAATATTCGTTAACTTTTTGAAGCTTTCAATTCCTTCCATTTTAATTTTAGATCATTACCTTTACATTCTCTTTTATTTATTTTCTTTTTATTTTTTAACAAAAATCCTTTCCAAGCATTCGTAAAAATTAAATGGCTCTATTATTACCGTAATGATTTATAGACTGCATAATGACTTTTGTGCAATTCTCTAATGGAATACTTTGATATTGGAATTCAACCACAAATATATAATAATTATTCATCAAACTTTTTGAAAGTAATTATAAATATAATATAATTTTGGAGTACCTATGGTTTAAAAGTGTCCATATTAATTTTAAATACCTACCTATTTCTAGATCTGTTAAAGAAGTATCTTGCCATTCAGAGAATTTCACGACTGAACTTATAGGATATACCTCTCCAGGACGTCTGTAGGCTTTTTTTGAATGGCCAGGCGGTTGTGGCCGGCACTCGGCCAACTATACACAGCCGACACTCGGCCGAGTAAACATAGCCGACATTCGGCCAGGCGGATATGCCCGACAGTTGGCCAGGCGGACATGCCCGTTCTACACGCCGGAAGAAATACGTGTGTCGGGCCGCATTCGGCCGATTCGGCAAAACATATTCGGACCGTATGCGGCTTGTGCTTACTGCCCAGATAGCACATGACTTCCCATGGACCTCCTGATTAGGTCCATTTGGGACGTTCCGACTTGGACATACTGTGGATTTCCCACGGATCTCCTTATTAAGTCTATTTCGGCCGTTCCGAGTTGGACATCCTGTGGATATCCACCGAACATCTGTTTAGGACAATGTTTGATTTTTGCTGGGGAGCAAAAATAAGATTTGTATTCCATTTAATTGATTAAATATATTCAATATATTTGTATTAAAACATAAAATTTATGTAATATAAAACATTGAAAAGAAAAAAATACAAAAATCATTTTTTTGCTAAATCTATAATCAATATATTTTTGAGCAAAATCTAATAGATATTTAATATTTTTATATCAAACATGTCAAACAGAGATAAAGAAGGTTGTCAAATAAACAAAATTACTTCTAAATTTAGCTTACTGTACAGCGTTGGCAGTGTTGCCATTTTTTTTACAAGTTGCCAAACTGGCGTCAGAATTACCAACAAAGAGTCTCCAAGATTAGGGCATGTAGATTAATATTTATATCTACTAGCTTTATCCAATATGAACGAGATTTTATAAAACCTGATTGGTAAAAATAACATTCGCGCAACTTTTTAAAAACTGAGTGGGTATAAAAACAAATTAAGTAAATAGAAACTGTTAAAAGCAGCAAATAAAGAAGGTCTTTATAAAAAATTATCTGAAGTCGCCCATATTGTCGCCAATTTTAAATTTTTAGACCGATTGGCAGTTCTCAAATCGCCCAACCTGGCAACGTTGCGCTGCTTCCTCACCGCACAAAACAGATGCCTTCTTTATCAGAGACTCTGGATGCTCCACCGTGTTTGCCATTTTGTGATTTTTGATAATAGACCGGTCACCGGTTCGTAGTTCTGTGCTTTTTAGTGCTAATGAATAATAAAAATGTATACATATACCTATAGGTAAGTACCATCCTAATTTATGAATAAGTAATAATATGTATATAACATGCATATATGTAATGTTTGCGACCAACTTTACAATTTTTATAGGTGGACTTCTTATATAATACTGGAGGGGAGAAACCCTATGAAGCAGTAAAAAGATGCCTCACAATAACTTTGAAGGAAAGAGAAATGAAAAGAAAAGTTTTCAAAATTTAAGTATTTAACAGGCTGTAATCAGTAAGTTTATCAATTTGTATGTATTTTTTCACCAAAATAATATGATTCCAGCTGCAGTAAAAAAGCTGCTAAATGTTGAAATGGCGATAAAATCATGGCTCAAACATTGCAAAGGCCGAATTGGAAATAAAGTTCAAAGAAGGTCAAAAAGTGCAAATTTATAAGTACAATAATTTATTTTATAGTTTTTATCAGTTTTTTTTTTAAATTTTAATCAGTTATCTACTTTTTCACAAAAATAAAGTTATTTTTACATATTTTATGGGTTTTATTTAAACATCCACATAAGGGCCAATTACATCCATATAAGGTCAATTTTGACCCTCAGTGGGACGGTCTCTGGACATACAAAAGTGCACCATTTGGAAGTCCATGGACGTCCTATGGAGGTCCATGGGAAATTGTAGGACAGCCCTGGGAGGTCCAGAGCATCCAAGGATGACATCCGTAGGACGTCCTTGGGACATACATGTGCTGACTGGGTGGGAAACCCCGTTATCTAGAGAAGTGTTCAAAACATCTAATCTAATAAACGATTTCCCACAACTTCACACACATCCCAAAGATTTTTTTTTTTATATATCACCCATAGGTACACAGTATTTTCCACCACTTTTTTATATTTTTTAAGATAGGTATTCATCATTGTTACTTACTAGATGGGGCACCACCTCATTATTAAGAATTATTATTATTATTAAGAACAGTGCATGGATGGTACACTGAGAAAAAAGTTTATTGCTCCCAAATAAAAAAAATATTTAAATATGGGACAAGGGTACCTACAGTTTATTTATCCTAAATATATTTTTATTCCCGACACATAAAGTTTTACTAAAGTATCGTTATTATTTCGACTATTTAGAGGTAATAAACAATATATTCACTATTAATAAAAGTATTAGCTACACAGTTTATTTGTCCCATTTTTTTCTCAGTGTAGAAAAGAACCAATAGAATGTCCTCCCAGATCTCTTGAGTTTTTCGACAACAAAATGGTTTAATTTTATATTTAATGATTTAATTTGAAATTTATTACGAGAAATTGGAATAATAATTATAAAAATAATTTTGGGTACCTATTAAAAATAAAACTATAAAAAAGTATTTTTCTAGTACTTTTAAATAGCAATTTTTCAATGGATCCGGTCTATATTTATAAAAAATACTATTAAAGAAGGATCATAAAAATATTTAACCTCTATTAAAAAGACATTAAAATTTAATATAAACTGTTATAGAATTTTAACCAAGTCTTAAAAAATCATTAAATCTTTAAATACATTTTTATTTGCTATATCTATAAAAAAATGTAAATTACTGTTTTCATGCAATATAAATAATAAATTGTACTAAGTAATACTGTTATTTTATTAATGAATATTATATTATTTATTCAACACCTATTAATGAAATAATTTCTTAACATCTTGTACTACTTATTTAAGGGGTTTAGAAATTTAAAAAAAAACTTATTTTATTTTACACAATATATTTTTAAACGTTTAAATAAAATAATAAATAATAATAAAATAATAATTATTTAAGAATTATTCTTTGAGGAAATATGCTTTTTTGACCTTCGAACCCCGTGTAACCCCTTAAATGATTTATACCTTTTGTCGTTCACTTAATGTTGAAATTGTGTTCCCATTCAAGCATCCATCAGCAAAATTCTTCAATTATTCAAAAACAAAACCAAAAAACTGCACACTCACAGAAAATCTAGTTTTTAAGTAGGTACATATACCAACCCGGCTATCTAAATAATTAAAAACAAATTCATGATAATCTGCGGAGGCCGCGGAACCGGCCCAGCGATGCCACATTCACCGCTTCGAGGAAATTTTTCGGCCGAAATCAGCTTCGAGTTCGACCGGCGACGGCGGCTGCGATCATGTGGGGGCGGCACCGCCAAGGAGCGGCGTATCGTTCGACGGCTGCTCGCGATCGTGCCTTCTGCGCTGCTGCTGCCGGATGCGGTCACGTGCGTCTCGGGCACTCGACGCTACTGACGGCGGCGGCGGTCGGCGTCGCGGCGTTCGCTGCGAGGCGGGGGTTCCCCCACCACCGCCGCTCCGAGACGACTCCTGCCGCTGCTCTTGCTCTTCTCCTCGGCCTTCTTCGATTGGGTTGCTCGATATCGCATCTATTTTTTTAATGCTTTTGTTTATACATATGTAGATATGTCCGGACATATACAGGGTGTTATGTAATTAATGTTATATATTAAAATACTGAATACCTTTTGACATAAGGAATAAAGGAAAAATATTTTAAAAAACATTTTTCCAAAGATACAGAAAAAATATGCATTAGAAGTTTTTTATATTTTTTGTGATACGCCACTGGTTACACACTTGTTTATCTCTGCACACCTGTATTTTGTGAGTACATAGATACCAACCAACAAAGTAGCTATGCGTTGCCAGATGTAAAAAATTGTTACTACTAAAAATTTTTCTTGCAAAAAATAAATAAAAACTCAATAAATACAAAAGTTTTATGCCCTTAAAGCTCTAATACCCTTCTGTATTTAATTACTAATCCAGCTATTAGCTTAAGCAATGATTAGAAAATTTAGTACCTTTGAAATTTGAAATCCTTAACCACAAAATTAATTTTTTTCATCAGTTTTTTTCTCTGTTTACTCAGATGAAATTGGGACCAGTTCACAGGTTAAACTTTAAACATTTAATTTGTGTAAATAAATCCAAAAGCACTTCCCTTTACGCGTTTACTAGTACTGCAGCCATATGCCCACACCGCGCTAGGCGCGTTCTTACTAATAAATAACATTATTTTACAAGATTTTCCCTTTTTATTAACAAGAACGTTTATACCTAGGCGTTTATAGGCACTGAACATGGTTTATCACTCAACCACGCACCTGGAGCGTTTTTTGTTTTTTTCAAAAAATAAAATTGAAAACCTATACTAGAATTTATTTGAAACAAGATGCACTTATTTAAATTAAAAAATATGAAGAAAAACTTAGGTGGTACCTGAAGCAATACTCTTTTTTGGGGTGGGCAGTGAATGTGTTAAGATATTTACAATTTGAAAACATAACCTAAAATTTAAAAGAAATGCACTAGATTCTGTCATAAAAGTTGGCAGATTTTGTTTGAATTTACCTTCAGTACAAAAATGAAATAACCAACAATTAATAAAAACGCCAAATTGACAATTTGCATTGTTAATTTTGTCATTTTTGTAATTAAGCTAAATTTAAACAATGTTTGTCAACTTTTTTGAGAGATTTTGGAAACACTGTTTACCAACCATAACATAATAAATCCACCAGATTAACCTAAAGTTCCTAGTCGATCAGTGGCGTACTTTTTGGTAGGATAAAGGTTATTATAAATTATTTTTAGACTTTGGAATTTAGAAAAAAAAAAGTTTCAGGTGCTTCTTTATGGACCCTAAGGAACAACCCATTTTAATATATAACATTAATTACATAACACCCTGTATATATTAGGGTGGTTCTTATTTAACCGATGTCGAAATTTTAACCGTGCCGCCCCCTCACCTGTTTTTAATAAATATAAAAAAATGTATGTGTAATTTGAATGTCCTAACTTATTTCCTTCTATTGCCTGTAACAACGAGATGTTTTCCAGATAGAGGATTTTTGCCTTAAATGTATTATTTTTTTAAAATTACTACTAATTTATGAAAAAGTATAATTTTTGGAGAAAATGTAGAGGACATAAGTTACTTTTAAATTTAAAAAAAAGAAATCATGCATTTTCATCGTAAAGTCTTTTTTACTTCGCTCGATTATTACTTACAGTTTTTCATATAGGGGATTTTTGCTTTAAAACGCAATAATTTTATAAAATCATTAATAATAATAAATGAACAATTCCAATTTTTTTGAGGAAATGAAGGAAAAATATGGTACTTTTAAACAAAAAAAGAAACAAGTCATGTATGTCCATCGTAAGGTCTTTTTTACTTCTCTCAATTATTACTATTATTGGTATTTTATTGAAAATGGCATAAAAAAACAAAATATCAGTGATAATTTGCATTTAGGTAATGCATAATTAGTGTGTTTTGAAACGTAATTTTGTACTTTTCTAATGTTGGTGCCACCTAAATATCTTTTAGGCAATCTTAAATTATTTGTTTTATAAAACAAATAATTTAAGATTGCCTAAAAGATATTTAGGAAGCACCAACATTAAAAAAGTACGAAATTACAATTAGGTATGTAAATAATGAAATTGATTTTTTGATTGTTTTCAAACAATTTATGTTTAAAAAAGTAACATAGTCTTTTCTGATATAAGCTGTACAATAATATATTATAACACCACAAGCAAGAAGATTCTTTCAGCGATGGGATATCGATGACACTTTTTTGAAAATCGATCCGACTATGTGGCCTCAGGAAGAAAATTATCAAAACGGTTTAAAAACTGTAACTCAGCTGAGAATCGTTAACGATGCTGCCGAAAGAGCTGTGCATTTATTTGACGAGTATAACTCCATCATAACACACAATGAAGACCAGAAACAATTTGTTGTACAGCTTTTGTCAGAGTTTCGAAAAGCATTTCCCGACGCAAAAAAAAGACTGTTGTAAACAATTTTTAAAATACCAAAAACCTAATCATCTGGGTTTTATTGTGTTATTTTTTTTGCCATTTTAACTATGTTACTTTCTTTAAAAATAAATTGTTCGAAAACAATCTAAAAATCAATTTCATTATTTACATAATTGTAATTTTGTAGGTACTTTTCTAATGTTGGTGCTCCCTAAATATCTTTTTTTTTCAAGCGGCCATGATATACAACCTTATATGCATGTATAGAGATAGTTGAAGTGCGTCTTTTTCATTAGCGGCAGACAAAAAACTCAAAAAAGCCTAGGGATAGAAGTAAATCCATAGGTGACTCAATAAACGTCAAATAATAAAATTAATTTAGCATTTCATACAAAGCAATCACGATCATAGAGAAAGGAAAGAAAAAGACCTTTTGTCTATGATCACGATGTATTAATTATATTAATTATAATCGCACGGAATATTTAGTGATTATTTATTAAATTTTAATTGAACGAAATAAAGAAAAACTAGTTTATTAGTATAATATTATGATGATAGACGAGTCGCCAATGTCGAAACTTCAAACAAATGTCAGTACGTCAAAATTAATTCAAGCGCAGCATTTTGACAGAGCAGTGTTTAGTTTTAGTTTCGGATATTTATCGGCATTGTAAGTAAGGTTTATTAGTTTTTTTAGTTTTTATCAATAATTTCTAATGCTTTTAGCCAAAATTTTATCCCACACGAGTTATGAGTAAATAAAATAATTCTATTGCTTATCCTATTTATATTATGCCCTTGAAAAAAAAATTGTATATGTTATTTGGAGTAGAAGCTCTTTTTGTGCTTCGTACAGTTGCCTGCCTCAGCTACGCTTCGGCCGTCAATCTATGTACTCACCACAAAAAGAGTCACTTCTACTCCTTATAACATAATCTACTATTATCATAATAGTATTATGTAATATTAAATTATTTGTTTTATAAAACAAATAATTTAAGATTGCCTAAAGGATATTTAGGTAGCACCGACATTAGAAAAGTACAAAATTACGTTTCAAAACACACTAATTACCTATACATTAAATGCAAATTATCACTGATATTTTGTTTTTTTTATGCCATTTTCAATAAAATAACAATAGTAATAATTGAGCGAAGTAAAAAAGACCTTACGATAAACATACATGAATCCTTTTTTTTTGTTTAAAAGTACCATACTTTCCCTTCATTTCCTTAAAAAATTAGAATTGTTCATTAATTATTAATGATTTTATAAAATTATTGCGTTTTAAAGCAAAAATCCCCTATATGACTAACTGTAAGTAATAATCGAGCGAAGTAAAAAAGACCTTAGGGTACAAATACATGATTTCTTTTTTTTTTAACTTATATCCTCTACATTTTCTCAAAAAATTATACTTTTTCATAGATTAATAGTAATTTAAAAAAATTAATACATTAAATGCAAAAATCCTCTATGTGGAAAACTTCTCGTTGTTACAGGCAATAGAAGAAAATAAGTTAGGACATTCAAATTTGGCATACATTTTTTTTATATTTTTTAAAAACAAATGAGGGGCGGCGCGATTAAAATTTCGACATCGGTCAAATAAGAACCACCCTAATATATGTATATATATATATATTTTTTATTGTGATTACCTATAAAATAATTAATTTCCAAGTTATTGTTTATCCAAAGATAATAACTTTGGTAGTACAAAAATTAAAATAAAAATTTTAGTACTAAAAATAGTTTTTTAAGATTTAAATAAAAAATATACTGTAAGAATACATTACACACTACACTACAATATTTTTTCTTTACTATAGTAAAGAAAAACTATTCTATATACTAGGAGCTTCACGCCAAAAAAAAATCAGAAAAGCAGAAGAAAAAAAAAATAATATTTCATTTTTACACACTACACTACACTATTTTTTCTTTACTATATAGTAAAGAAAAAATATACTATACCTATCCTATAGGAGCTTCACGCCAAAAAAAATCACGAAGTTTTTTCTTACTTTTTGACTCTTCTGAAGGAACTTCCACTTCCACCACTAAAAAACAGAAAAAAAAACAAGAAAAGGTAAGAAAAAATCATATTTTTTTCAAACGAGGTTTTTTCTTACTTTTTGACTCTTTTGAAGATACCTGGCCACTTTTTATAAAAACAGAAAAAATCAAAAAAAGGTAAGAAAAAATCATATTTTTTTAAACGAGTTTTTTCTTACTTTTTGACTCTTTTGAAGGTACTCTTCTAGGTTTGGTTTAGGGGTACTCCCAAAGTTTCAGATCTTTAAATTAATTTTTAAACTGAGCCCCGACCACTTTTTAAAAGAAAAACAGAAAAAATCAGAAAAAGGTTAAAAAAAACATAATTTTATTTTGAAACAATGTTTTATAAGAATAATAAGTGTTTATTTAGCAAAGGCTATAAAATTTATAGCCTTTGCTAAATAAACACTTAAGTGTTTAATACGAGGTTTAATAATTATTATTCTTATAAAACCTCGTTTCAAAATCATCAAATCATACATACAGGGCCGGATTTAGGACAGGGCCAGCGGGGCCACGGCCCCAGGGCCCCCACCATTTAGGGGCCCCCACCAATGCAATATGTAGCTTTTTAATGAAACGAATATGAAAAAAATTAGCGAAAAAACAAAAAATTGGGTCGGTTATACCGCGCGAATTCTGTAATTTTCAATTAATTTTTCGTAGATCTAACTCTAATTTTTCGCGGATTTTTTATCGCTTATCCGTTTGCAAATCAGAATGTAAACTATCACACTCAATAAGTTATGACTCAAAACAATTGCCCCTTTAGTGCTTTTCGTAACGTTTTTGTAAATACAGGCAAACAGTCAATTAATCTAATATTAAAGTTAGTTTTTGTCCCAGATTTTTATTGGTACATTGGAGTGTTGTGGAATATTTTCCGGTGTTTCCGAAATAATGTTTCGTGCTTTTCTTTGGACAAAACATTGTTTTATTATTGATGATTTTGTATGAAAAACAGACAAATAATACGACTTTTGATGCACTTTTTTTCAGTTTGCGGCAAGATTAAAAATACAAACAAAACATAGATCAATTTATATTTTACTTGAGTAAAATATATATAAGGTTATGTTCGTATTATTCAAAATATATAAAATATAAAGTAGGTATATAAAAACACTTTCATTCACAATTCTATTCTACTATCTACGTTTTATAGTTTTGCATACGAATTAATAATTTCTCAGACTTGGGTAAAATGTATATGGTTATGTTCGTATTATTCAAAATATACAGGGTGATTCAGACTTGTGGTGACAAAAGCTCAGGGGAAATTCCTCTCATCAAAATATGAAAAAAGTTCCTATAAACACGTGTCTGAAAATGCTTCATTATCGAGATACAGGGTTTTTCGTTTAAAAAAAAATAGTTTTTTATTTATAGCTTAAAAACGCTTTGGCCGATTTTATTAAAAATTTATATGGTTTATTAAATAATAAATGATTCAAGGATAATAAAAAATCACGTAAAGTTCCTCTAGCTTAAAAATTTATCATGAGTTTTAAAGTGTCAATTTTTTAAAAATATTGAGGGCCCCCACCAAATGTCGGCCCCAGGGCCTCAAAACTCTTAATCCGGCCCTGCATACATAGAAATACATAATAGCAATAAATTATACATATATTATGTATGTAACAAGGTTTTTAAACATTTTGGTATACATACATATCTATACATGTATAGATACATTCTTTTTCTAACTATTTGACTCTTCTGAAATTTCAGATTTTTTACTGTATTTTTAACCTAAGCCATTTTAAAAAAATCAGAAAAAGGAATGAAAAAATCATATTTTTTTCAGACAAGATTTTTTTTACTTTACTAAAATTTTAGTTTTTCACTTCATTTATAACCTGAGCCACAACCAGAGGGCACACATATACATTATATTTCCATTAGATATCTAATGGATATTCCATGGATTTGGGATATCCAATGGATATCCAGTGGATATATCTATCCAGGTACTGGATCCAGTCGATGTCGATGTCGACATTTGTGCTGTCTGGGAATTTTTTTAAAAATCAGGAAAAGGTAAGGAAAAATCATATTTTTTTTTTCAAACAATATGGTTTTTCTTACTTTTAGACTCTTCTAAAGGTACTTACAAAGTTTCAGATTTTTAAATTAATTTTTAACCTGAGCCTCAACCACTTAAAAAAACAGAAAAAATCAGAATAAGGTCAGAAAAAATTCTATTTTTTTCAAGGTTTTTTCTTACTTTTTTACCCTTCTGAAGGTACTCCCGAAGTTTCAGATTTTTAAATTAATTTTAACCTGAGTCCTGCAGGTCATGACTACATATACATATTTAAATATTGGAGTAGACCCAGGTAACCAAACGTAACGAAAAAGTGACAGAAATTGTATGTATGTTTTCTTTATCGTCACGTGTATAATCGTCGAAACTATATCAATTTTAAACTCAAATTTTTCACAAAACCGCTCACCTGCCGTTATAACGTGATCGTCACGTTAGCGTTATCGTGATTTTAAACCGAATCGACATAACGTTTACGTGACGCTGTAATCGTTACTAAATCAACACGAAAATACAGTTATATTCGATTTTGAATTTGTGACCGTATCTTTAACCAGTGGCGGCTGGTGGATTTTTGGTATATATACCGGTATACCAATATCTCAGTTATTATACATAGGACCCAAACCAAACTTTTATGAGTTTATAATAATATTAAATTGAAGTTTGCGAAAAAAGTAATTTTTTTCAGCCCAGTCCCCTGCCCCCTAATTAAGATAATGCAAATTAAAGTGGTGCTATTAATAACTCAGTGCAGTTTATCGACAAATTTCAAAATTTATTTCAAATTCCAAGTAGATTTTATACCATTTAAACTTTTTTTTATCCTAAAATAAAATTTAAAAAATGGTATAATATTTGTAATCTTGGATTTTTTAAATAAATTTTGAAATTTGTTATAAACTATAGTGAGTTATTAATTGCACCACCTTAATTTGAATCATCTTAATTAGGGGGGCACGCTGAAAAACTTATTTTTTTCGCAACAATTATTAATTTTATTACAACTTCATAAAAGTGTTGGGTCCCATGTCTAATAACTAAGATATCAGTATACCCCAAATCCCCCAGTCGCCACTAGTGACTAGTGACAGCTGTCTTTAACTAATCTGCTCAAGTCTCAGATTGCTGGAATTAGTCCTAAATTTTTACTATAGTAAGCTATTATAGCTATAATAGCTATATGTATATTTTAAATAATTAAATAAGCACAAAACACTGAAATGGAACAGGTTTCAGAAGAATTTATGATTAATTAATAATAATACCTTTAACAAAAAAATATATTTCTCAAACCAAATTATAAAAACAATAAAAAACTAAATAAATAACTCTAAAAAATATATTCTTCTTCAAAAGGATAAAAACCAAATAAATAATTTTCTAAAGCATATTTTTTCTTCTACTCGACATTTTGCTGTAGGTATTTCTTTTTTCTTTTGCTGAAAAAAAGTATTAATGTGAACACTAGTTATATACCTCCTCTACATAATAAAGTAAACAGAATTTTTGCATAATTAAGTTTTTAAATCAAAACCACTTAGGTATACCTATAGGTACTTGTTAAATATTTAGGTAATGTTAAAAGACATTAAAATAATTTTTTATTAATAAAATTAATGTTAACATAACCTATAATTATTTTTATAGAAAAACAATATGAAAAACAATACTTACAATTAACGCCTTCCAAAGAAAATAATATATAATAAAAACTAAAGACAAGCTAATAATTTTTAAATAAACCAATTTCAAAACAAATTAGTTGCACGGGAACACTAAACAGAACAAAATCAGATCAATATACCTACTTAGGTACTTATTTGACAATATTGGCGAATTGAATAAAGAGTTAAGAGGGTAGCTAAAGACACGGTAAATCGTAAAGTTAAAGTCACGGTATACCGTGACTTTTGTTATAACGTTATAACGTGACAATAAAGTCACGTTTATATAACGATTAATTTAGCAAAGTAAGTCTATGGAAAATCGTGAAAGCATTGGTAAAGGCAGATTCTATATCAAATCGACATCTCCAAAATTATTCATTTTCGTTAAAGATATATAGGTCACAACTTTATAGTTAAGATATTGGCCACGTTAACGTCACATTTAAAAATGTTAGTCACGTTTGGTTACCTGGGGATAAACTATAGTAGGTATTACACTCGAGATTATGCGAATTATTGCGTAAATAATATATTATATTGTATTATATCTCGTATAATAATATAATATTATAATAGATATATCTACTCCTTTAATGACGAGCTGTGACTTTATGGAGTTTTAGTCGCATGTTGAAGTTAGAAACAGAGGGTTTTATGTTTTTTAGTCACAGGCTGAAGTTAGCTTATAAATTGGGGAAAAAAGAGGTTAAGTTTGGGTGACAGTTAACAGATGTCAAATTTTTTTAAAAAATTTATAAAATGATATATACCTTGTATATTTAATAGCATAGTTTTGTTCCTAATTTATTCAAATTGTTTAAGCTTGATGGGAGAATTCACATTGGAAAATTTAAAAACCAATGTGGTGGAGTTGCTCGAAATATCTGCGAAAGTCTCTACAAAATAGGTTTTCCCTCGCACTTTGTAACAGTTTTGGGGAAAGACGAGGCAGGGGAAAAACTCAAAAGTTCTATACCAGCTTTATGCCGGGATGACTTAAAAATATCATCTGAAGGGAGATCAGCACAATGCATTGTCGTTTTCGACGAAAAAAAGGAATGCAAATTTTTGATGGGAGATTTGGATATACACAGTGAAATAAATGCGGAAATGGTAAGGAACATCAACAAGACATGGTGTAAAAAATATTTTTTGGTTAGATTTTAGAGAATGTGGATAAACTAAGGCAAACTCCTTTAATAATCTTGGATGGAAATGTTCATTTGGATACTATGAGCACAATACTAGAAATTGCAGAAAAGTATAATAAACCAGGTAAGAATTGCTGCATGAAATTTAATTTTTAATGTGTTTTAAAACATTATAAAAAGTATTAAGTTCATCTAAAATAATTCAAAAGTATGAAGGACAAATAAAGAAAACATTTAACTTCTTGGTGTAGATATTATTGTAAAAAAATCAATAGTATAAAATTTTGCATATAAAAAAATACACAATCATCTTTGATAAAACATTAATTAAATTCAACATAAAATAATTATCAATATAATAAACTTAAATTGTAAAAATTGGACGGAAACATCAGATCTAAAGCAGATTATAGAGATTAAATATTTAAAAAATATGCAAGGCACAATTTTTAGAATTCTTTAAATATTTATGTTATAAGTAGTTAATATTAGAAACTAAATATTAATGCATTGCCCATCCCAAACGATGTTGCGGATTGGGGTGCATCTGCATGATTAAATTTCTACTCTCCTGTCTTCTTTCGTAACTGAATTTTGCCTCTTTGTACAAGAGAAAAGCTGCTAGAGCGTGGAAAAAGAATGATATTACAGCCAAGGCATATGACCAACATAAATAGTTAAAGTTTGGGTACATCAGCCAATCTCTTCTTGTGTGGGAACCACCAAAAATTGCCACCGACAGAAACATTAATACAGCTGAAAAAAATTACATTTTTAGTTGGATTTACATTATAGGTATATTTATAAAATACAAACCTGTAATTGCAACACCGACAAAAGAAATGGATGACAACACCCATTCATACTTTAAAACAAACTCCAAAGGCCACCGGCAAACCTCCATTGCCATAATAACTTGTGATCCAAAACTCAGTAAAAAAGAGATTGTCACAAATGTTTGCACCACCATCAGCCATGGAGGTAGAACCCAGGCCCTAATAACATGAAACTCCTGGCTGAAGACATGGTTGCAACCCGAAAAGGTTTTGTCAAATGGGTAATATGGATATCTGAACCCGTCAAAGCAATATTCCCATAACCCCATGTGTTTGAACTCTGAATCAGTTCCATCGTAAGATTTTACCCAATATGTACTAAAATCGTAGAATTCACAATGTTTTGCATAACTTTGTTAAATATATTTACCTGCAGAAAGCTATAAGCAAAAGAATTCCTCCAATATACGTAATTAACGCCCCATTAACCAAATAATCTAAGGTGTGTCATGTATTAGTGAATTAGTTCAAAAAATGCTGCGCAATTTTTACTTACTCGATGCTTTGGGGTACTCGTTTTTCTCCACCGTCAATCTACTACTCATTTTCAAGCTTCTATGGGATTTATTTATTTAATTCACCTGTTTCAATCAAAACAAACGGGTTGTTACTAACAACTTGTTAGTCACCTGTTAAGTTGGCAACGCAAGACCACGCCCATAAAACATAAGCGGGGAATTGACCATATGCAAGGAATGCGGTCGATGTTGCCAATGGTAAAAAAATAAAATTCCCTATTGGGAACATTCAATTATATTACGTTGGCTACACTGAAATTTTGAATTTCCCGCACAAACTGACATACATTCTAGTAGTTCCCAGAGATAAAGAAGGTAGTTCCAATGTTTTATAATAAATTAAGGTGCGAATTTCAAATGTGGAAATTATTATTAATTATTATTATTAAAAAAAAGATGGAAAATAATTTAGTTTGTGCGGGAAATTCAAATTTTCAGTGTAGCCAACGTAATATAATTGAATGTTCCCAATAGGGAATTTTATTTATTTACCATTGGCAACATCGACCGCATTCCTTGCATATGGTCAATTGGAAACTCCCGAATGCATTTGTGTCACAGAAATATTTCTGTGATTTGCCTAGATTATCAGTGCCACGATACACATAAACCGGTATGCTGATGCGCATGTTATAGCTGTCTCTCTCGCACCATGTGACGTCATGTGCGGACCAAAAGCTGGCGGGTAACTTGGTTGGAATGTTATTTGCACTACAAATTCACGTTATATTTGAAAATTTATAAATATAGGGACGGTCTCGGTGCAATTATTAATTGTAACAAATGTTTAGAGAAAGTTTAATTGGCAGCAAGCGCTTTTAAAACTAATTTTAAGCAACAATTAATTTCATAACCTTCCTATTATTATTTTTCGAAATAATTTTTATTTAATTAATTTAACATACTTACGCTAGTCCGAATTTTACATTTTTGTAATGTAAAAGGTAACAAAAAATAAAAATGCATTTATACAGAAAATAATAATGCAAGCTTTAAAAATATCTCAAAACTGCTTTTTTTAACTTGTGACACTTTTGAAGCGGGTTTTCGATACAATTGTGATTTGATTTTTATTATTAGTAAATTTAAACATTTTTTTTTCCAAATTTCTTTTGCTGTTATTAATACTAATTTGTTGATTTAATTCGCGTAATCGAATGTTCACGTTCTGCTTCGTGATATGGTCTGTAACCAGTCTGGTACTTTTTCAGTGTTTAATATTTTGATTGTAAGAATGCCAAGAGTAGGGTAATTGTTTCTAATGACTTCATCTTCTTTTTTCTAACCTCAAAGAACAACTGGTTTCAACATATTTTGTTGCTTTTGATTTACAATTCATCAGGTTTTAAGTAGCTGTTATTTTTTGGACAATACTGTAGCAGCCTTTGATTTAATGGTATTTCAAAACTACTTTCGGTAAAATGCACAGAACAGATGCAAGCTGTAAAAATTATGAGGTTAGGATGAAAATTACCATATGTACATAACAGAAAATTGGATATACAAAAAGTTGCCTTTAATTACCGTTTTTTAAATTAATTTTATCTTTCCTCTTGCATGCATTCACCCACTGCGTTGCCAGATCTTTATTTTTTGGGAAACGAAAATATTTCGTGTTACTGCCTTAGGTGTTTTTATTCAAATTTTTGCAGTCTCCTACAGCACAGCCCCGCCTATTTTAGTGTTATTAAGTCCAACAAATTAACACAAACCTAATAAATAACCTGGTATGAGACTCCCGTATGTGGCTTGTAAATAGTTATTGCTGTTCAATAAAGCAGTAAAAACTTTACGACACACGATGCAAAGCTCACTTGCTACCTTAAGCCTCGAAAAACACAATAATTGCGGATAAAACTCAAAATAAATGGTAGTAAAGCACTTGTGCATAGTGTATTCCTATGCAAAACATTTGAATCTGGTTCGTACGTGACGTCACATGCGCGGAGTCGACGAGTTTTCGTTTCATAACCAGCATACCGGTTTATGTGTATCGTGATCAGTGCCAACACTCAGTGGCGTATTTAGGGGGGGGTCCGCCGGGTCCGGACCCCCCCCCCGGGAGCACATATTTTATTATTTTTATTACAAAAAAAAGTTAAAAAAAAATAAAAACCTCAAGACTGTCAACGTACTTTATTATTTATTAATTATATTTAAATATAAAATCATTCAAATCAAAAATCAACTACTTACGTATTAAAGAGAAAGAGGTGGTTTGGCAACCCTGTAGGTATATAGTTCCTACCTCTTTCTCGTGTCGTTATGATCGAGGCGCGAACAGAAATTATTTCTGAGTTCTGAGAAATAGAAATATACCATGAATAGATAGCGCGTGCGTGAAAAATAGTGGCGTCTCTTTTCTTATTATAATAAAGAAAAAGATGCCGCTCTTTTTCACGCACGCGCTATCCATTCATTATTAAAGCATAGCATAGTACATATTTAGTTAGTTTTTTTGGACCCCCCCCGGAGCTAAATCCTAAATACGCCACTGGCCAACACAGTAGATTATCTACTAGATTAAAGTAGTAGTAGCAGTAGATTATCTAATAGATTAAATGTCTTATCATTTTTAAGCTTCTATTGGATTCTGTGACCCCAATGCAGTTGTTTTATTTATTTTATTTTAACTTACGGATATTGATTTTATCCATTTCGGCATTGTTCGGCAACATAATTTAATTCAAATCGTAACGGTTTGTTATAACATAACAATTCAGTTAAGTGATTGTTACCAGAAATTTAAGAGAAGACTTTTTAAAAATAATACCCAATGATTTTAAAAATATCACTGTGACCACCTGTAAGATTCGAAAGTTTTAGAAGTTTAAATTTCGGCTGATTTGATTTTAATGGGAATTAAAATTTGTTTTAATTGGCCAAATGAGACGTCTGGACTGTATTATTTAATGATGTGGGATGAATGAAATTTTGTTGTAAGGATTATTATAAACTTTTATTTTGTAAAATTCAACAATTATGTATAAATTGTAATATAAAGCATCATTTTGTTAAAAATAAAACATAAAACATTTAAAAAAGGAATGTTGGACAATACATAAAAAATTCTAAAAACTTACAACTATGAACACTTAAAAATACAATCTATATTTTATAAAATGGTTTGTCATGGTAATGAAACCTAAAACTAAGTATTAGGAGTAATACAAAATGGCTTTGTACATATGGACGGATTAGTTTCAAAAATTGATAAATTTAAGCTCTTGACTCGTGTTCCATTTCAAACCTTGTCTGTGACCCCTTCAAATTGTCTTTCTTTCGCTGTTGAACATAACCATCAACGAAAAATAACGTTGAAGCTACCAACATTGCTACAACTCCAATGCAGGCCAAAATAAACGACCAACCAAAGAAGTTGTTATCGTGACCAGGCATCCAGCCATTTCTGTTAGCGCAAGCAGCAAAAACAATTACCGCAATGCCACCTGATAGGCCGCCAAACAGGGATATCCAGGCATTCAGTTTTATCAGTAGAACATATTGCTTCATATCAGGCCCACAACACAGGAAGTACAGCAATGTTAAAATGGCACATAATAGGGCGGCTATGAAAGCAAACGTGAAGAAAAATTGCGTTGCTACCATGAAACCGGGCACCAAAAACCCCCTAATTTGATCATACCCAGTGGTAAATGGGTCATATATCCATCTACATCCCACAAAGAATCTATTGGGGTTATAATTGTTATTGGGATCCGGCAGGGATCTAAAACAATGTGTCCATAATCCCAATCTGTCAAGTTTTGCCCCTGTTATCCTGTAATCTGAGACAAGCCAACTGGGGGTTGAAAATGCCACAGCAATTGTTATAAATGCAATAACAAAGAAGCCTATGCCAACATTTCCCGCCAATGAGCGTTTTTTCATCTAAAACAATTGAAAGAATCACTAAAATGCCTCGTAAGATTTTCGAGTTTACTTACTGCACTGTTTACCTCGTCGTATTCCACCATTTAAAACCACAAACGTAAACAAAAAGTGAAAACAAACGACTTTTCTTTTGTATTCCAAGAAGCACTTCTGCGACTGCAAACTGTTGCTGAATGTAGAACAATTAGTAAACCCGTATCTTTTGTTTTATTGTAAGAGTTTTGGTTATGTTTTCTTCGCAGCTCTCATGGATTGTTTGTATCACCTCTTTGACCACACCTGCACTAACGCCGATGACCGTTTATTCGTATGAAGCGGCACATTTCTGAGTCAGATGCATATGGAATTTATCATTCCACTAGGTATATGGGTGTAAATGTTTTCTTGGTATGGTAAACCAATTATTAGATGATTAATTTAATGTTTCCTGTTTATTTGTTATAATTTTTATACGGTGCAACTTAGTTTTAATAGTAAAACTATGATACGTTGTATCGCAAAGTTTGTAAGAATGTTTTTGGTAAAGTTGGCAAATGTAAACAAGTTTAAATGCGATTCAACTAACTTAAAGTAAAAACTATCGATTTTAATGTACCTATATTAGAATCTAGAAAATCTATTTCTAGAAAATAGCTTTCGCAGAATAGGAATTTATTAATTTTTTTTTTGTATTTAGAGAAAACAGGTTTTACTAGCCTGTAGTGTACAGGGTGTACCGAAAATTGTGCACTAACACGTTATAATAAATATATATCAGGGTGGTCTTTATATCGGGTAAAATTTTTTTTTAACCGGGCCGCTCCTTAAATTGACGCAAAATAAGAAAAAAAATGTGTGCCAAATTTTAGCCCTATAGGTCTATTCTAGATTACCCCTGTGAACCACTTTTAACTAAAAATTTAATTATTTAATTAAAAATGATAATGTATACAATTATAATTTTTATTTTTATATTTAATATAAATAATAATTATTATTGTTAATTTTATAATTACGGGAGAAATATTAATCAAATTATGCCTTCAATACTATACAGGGTGATCCAAATTAAGGGCGCAACATTGCTAACTTCGTTATTGTTGATCCTATGATGTCGGTCAAATTAGCAAACAATCAGTATTTTTTCTTTCCGTTACCATGCATCGTTTCGTATTCAGTGATACTGATTCATCAAAATTCGGAATCAGCTGCGATGGCATTTTTCGATGAATATTCACTGATATCAGTATCACTGAATAGGTACGAAACGATGCATGGTAACGGAATCAAACCAATCTGAAGATATAGAAAATGTGATATATAAACGATTGAACTATATGGTTATTTTCTGTAAAAAAGAAATGGATGATTTTGTAACGTCTCAAACACGAAATTTCTTTGTTCGGTTCGGAATCAGTCAAGACTTCTTGTATTTAATATACAAGAAGTCTTTGGAGCAAAAGTGAGAGTTATCAAAATGCATTAAAAATCGTAAAAAATCTGAAAGTTGTAAATGATGTTGCGAAAAGGGGGGTTTATTAACTAAGTTTAAGACCAAAAACAGTGTGCTCTTCAGCTTAAATTTAAAGAGTTTAATGAACAGTTGGCCGTGACAGCAAAGTCAGCGGTGCCAAAGTAGTAAAAATAAAATAAATTTTAATTAACAAATTAATCCTCACTTTAAAAATTAATTTCTTGGAATCCGTGCTGTATTAAAATCTAAAATTATTTGTGAATGTTTCTGATGCCTTAAAAATCATATATTAAATTTTGACTGCCTTAAATAATTTTTATAATGATTTTTTACTACCAAAATTCAATTTAAATAATGTTTATAATGATTTTTTATTACCAAATTTAAATTTTGTACCTATTTATAAATGGGTATTTAACTTTTAACATAATATGCATATTATGCAATTTAAAAATGTTTTGTTGTAATTTTTAAAATAGTTTAAATTGTAAAAACACTTTGACCAAAACCCAAATTAAAAAAAAAACTAATTTGCGTTTTAAAATTAAAAATATTTAATTATAAATTTAAAATATCAATCAATATTTGTTTTATTGTTTAGGGTAGCAAAATAAAATAAAAAATGAAAATTAGCACAATGAAACATTCATTATGATAGAAATCAAAAGCTTGTTTGCCGCTCTGTTAATATGGTGTATCAGAGGTCCGCAAGGTAGGGTTAAACTTTAATAAGTCCAGGTCGCATAATTAGTTGACATAATTGCTGAAAACAACACTGTTTTTGTCCACAGTTAAATGAATGTATTCATATAGTATTTATTTCAAAATACTGCAATTTCTCAAGGTGCCTTACCATTGTTTCACCCATGGGAACTTTTAATTACGAAAAATTACAAAATAATAAAACCTTTGACTAATAGTTAGTGTATATTTTGTACAAAAATTTCACATTTTTTAGTTGTGTATATAAATATAATAGAAAAATACATTAATAAAAAAATCAGTAAAATAACTACAAGCCTAAATACTTTAAAGTGCATTTTTATCTTTAAAGAGATTCATTATTGTTTTCTTTTTAATACTTTCAATAAAAAAAAATTGCTTCAAGCAAGGCCATTGTCATATAAAAATCCGAACAATTCCTATTTTATTGAAAGGTTTATAAAGGTACAAATACACATTTCAAGAGCGTTATTATTGTTATAAGTAATATAAGTTGCACATTTGGACGGAATTAAATCATACATTTCATGCAAAATACAATAACAATAAAATAAAAAATACTATAGGTAGTTAATAATATTCAAATACTTGTAGTATACAAAAAAAAATATTTACTTAAACTCAATAAATAACTAAAATTGCAATTTACCTTTAAGCAATCTTGATATTTAATACTCTGATAATAATGTTAAATATCAGTGTGTGCGGATGGTTTTCTAATTTCCATGCTGTAATGAGAAGGTGGGGCTGATGCTTGTAATTTTCTGTAACGTGCCCTCCTAGCTTCAACCAAAAATAGTGCCCCAGCAGGGAAAAGTAATAAAGACCCTATAACCCCAAAGGCAAATGACCAGCTTAAATCGTTGTGCTGCCAGTATGGCATCCAATCTCTGTTATCACCATTCCCACCAAATATACAAACAGCTACCAAGCCACAAAAACCTGCTATAATTAAGTTAGCACCGTTACTTAGTAGTAGTAAAAGGTACTTGTCGTGGTCCCTGCTGCAAAAACAGTACATCCACGTTAAAAATGCTGCTATTAACACCAAAGTCATGCATAATGTGAAGAAGAACTGGGTGGCTATGAAAAACCCAGGTAATAGGAAGTCATGGATGATGTAATATTCTTCTTCAAAGACCCACCAACAACCAGTGAATTTGTTGTCATAATGATGCCTGAAGTCTTCAAAATTCACAAAACAAACCTCCCATAAACCTAAAACAAATGAAAATTATTATAGATAGATAGGTCTAAAGCAATTGTTTAAAACAGCCCACTTGAAAATTATCAACAATGCCCTAATTGGCCACTCCTATGCCTGTAAACAAATCGAAAAACTTACCGATTCGTATGAAGTTCGGGTTTGCTATTTTGCCATCGTTCACCAACCAGTAGGGCGTGCAAAAAGATATCAAAACGAATAAAAAGGCAACCACCGTTATCACAATTGCACAAACCCCTGTTTTTGTTTTCATCGCCATTTTCTCAAACGTGAATCATATCTGGGGAATTGTTGGTTCTTTAGTTGGTAACACCGTTCCACGGTGATTTGATTTTAATGCGTTTTGTGTAGGATACATTAAAAGTAACCCATCGACGACCAATCAGAGCGTAGCAGCATTTGTTGCGATGCTGCGATGTTGCCGCAGTGCTGTGCCGTGCCGCGGGTAATTTAAATTCCCCGTAATAGGAGTTGTATAACAATGGCATGGACAATGTAAAAAATAGTGGTTTAAGTCTTAGATAGATATTCGCAAATTGTTTTTAAACAATATTTGACGTAAATAAGTAAGTTCTACATTATTTATTTTCATTAATACAATTATAATAGGTAAAGGTATTTTTAGCAAGCAAAAATATTGTTAAAGCTAATGGAAATGTATAGGTAACCCTTGTACATGTACATATCCCTGCCTAAAATACCCCATAGAGACCTTTATAAAATAATCTATCGGGCACTACCGGATTCAATATGTGCATTTGTCCATGGTTTTTTTCCGGATACGGCCCGATAGAAAATTTATAGGAAATTATCTATAGGCACACCATAACTTTTACATTTTCCCTATTGAGACCGATAGGAAATAACTCAATGAAGGATATATAGGGATATCCCTATAGAAAAACCATAAAACATTTGACAAAATTTTATTAAAACCTATGGGGTCCTATGGGGGAAAAACTAATTTCTACATTTATGTGTATTTTCCCCATTGAAACCAATAGCAAATAAATCAAGGGTGGATTTCCCTATAGAACAACCATAAATCCCAACTATGGGTTCTATACAAACCGATACACCCTATAGAAACACCATACATTTCGATATAAATCTATCGGTTTAAACAGGGTCTCTATGGGGTATTTTAAGAAGGGATTTTGTAATTATCACAATAAATAAAAAAACTGCAATACCTACACATTCTGCACTTTAATTTATATTTTCAAATAATTTTAATTATTACGTAAAGCTTTTTGGCCATTTTGGACACCTTGGTAATATTTACAAATTTTAATTTGCTCAAAAAATGCTAATATTTATTTTTTCATTAAGAAATAAAAATCCACACAAAACTCCTTTCCCTATCAAAAGCGATATTTAATACTTGAACAACCCTGAAGTGAATATTTAAATAAAACAAACTATTGTATCTATTCTTTTTTTAATATAAAATAATCAATCATACAATATAATTTTAATACATGTTGTGATTTTTTTAATTTTTTACATAATAAGTATACATAGCCAAATAATGTTATTACTAGGGCTGGGCGATTATGGAAATTCATAATCGATTATTGATTATATAAAATAATCGATTATTTGATTAATCGATTATTGATTCTTCTTGGATTGGATATTTCCTCTGTGCTCATCACCAGGGTCCATGCATTTAAATATTTGGGATCATCACTCATTATGTATTGTGCTTCAATAGGACCTCCTAATTTTTCCTTGAGTGCTTTAAAAAATAATTCCTGTATTTTTTGATCCATTCTGTTAGAAAGTAAAAATGCAACAGGAAAACCCATGTTGTTCTCATCTTTAATTAGCACAATGGTGAAATCCCAATTTCTACGATTAGTGCCATGTGTCCCCTCAATGCAAATATTTTTTTTAAATTCCCTTAGTTTTCTTTTCATTATCCCATTTATATATCCCAAGGCAAAATCTTCATCCTTCAATCCTGGAAAATTCATTCCTAAAAATGATATTTTTGTGAGTAACCCCATAATGTATTTAATAATCCAATTTCCTACCTATTTAATTAAATAAAAATGCATCATTCCTTCCCTGTTGATTCCATTCCTCAACTTTCAAAGATACAGCAATCATATCATCAGTATGCCTTTTTTTATCAATTTTATATTTTCAGATTAAATATCACCCCTTGTAATTACATTAATCCTTTCCAAACTATGGTTACTAACCATTCTAGCATTTTGGATTATTCTTTGGCTTGTTACTCCTGCATTTAATTTTTCCACACAAAACATTTTGTTCACTTTTTGACAGTCGTTTAGTCTGTAGGTCATCCTCATGTCCCACATGTGTCTCAAAAAAAGTTACTGTAACATATCCTAAAAAAACATAGATTTGAAACATATGTAAATGAATTTATTTTCTAATTATTACATATTGCTAAAATAGATTTAAATATTTACCACTGGTAGAAATTTTTGCAGTTATATTTGAGGGGCATATTCCATGAATCCTAATTGGCTTTTAAACTACGTTGAGTAGCAGTACTACTAAATCCTAAACAAGAGATAATAAGTAATGTTAAATACTGCGAATAAAGCATACAAGCTGCACAGTTACTTCTATTGCACTTGTAATACCAATGTTCTTCTCCATTTGGCCTTTTATTTTTCCTATGACAAGCATAATTAACTTCCCTTTTTTCTAGTGTTCTTCAGATTTCAAATTCTTTAATGTTATTAAAGTTCAAAGTAGAAACCTTAACAACAATGTCGTGAATATCTTTTAAATGCTTTACAAGCCTATGGCTTAAAAATGTTTCCCCTTCAGGGCATAGTGGGCATAAAATTCGAGGCGTTGTTTTATTCTCCACTGGCTTATTGTGGACTCGCTTTAGATGATCATTTTTGGAAGAGATACTGCAAAATTCCATCTCACAATGCTCACAAATTTTGGGATTTGTTTGCCTACAAAGTAAACATTTAATTTTTAATTTAACTTATTTGTGTAAACTTACTTATTTAAATCCATTTTAAAGAATATAAATATATATTGAATATGCACAAATTTATAGTCTATAAAGCACAGAAAAACTCAAAAATCGAATAGAGTAACACCTTAACACTAAAAACACAACTATTAAGTGAAAAACACAGAAAAGCCACACTTGAAGCAAGCAAACGACGTGACAAAACAAATGTGAAAATTGCTGCCAAGATATTGAGGTTATGTTTGCAAATTACCCGCGGCCCAGCATGCACTACGGCAACACTGCATCGCTGCAGCCTTCTAATTGGTCGTCGATGGGTTACTTTTAATGTATCCTGTTTTGTGTTGTGGATATTTTTTAATTTGTTTGTTTTAGTTTTCTATGAACCTACGGACGTGGAAATATCCACAAAACCCTTCGAAACCAACCACGGGAAAGCAGTAAAATACATATCGCCTAATTTGGAGGAATTAAAATTTATTTGCTCCTATTTTAACATCACCGCAAAAAATGAATTTTGTAAAATGAGACAAGCGGCAAGTTTGGCTGAAAAAATTGTTAACTACGTGGATAATGTATTCGTAACTCTTGGATCTGACGGTTTAATTGTATCGAGAAAAGGCGCAGCCAAAGAATCATTTCCGATGAAAAATAATGAGCAGATAATTCAAGTAAGGCATTACCCTGCAAATACAGTCGAAAATATTGTAAATGTGAGTGGTGCTGGTGATAATTTAGCTAGCGGGTTAATAGCAGGAATTCTTTGCGGACTTAGCGAAGAAATAAGTATCTCTATTGGAATGGAGGCTGCAAAAACTGCATTAAAGTCTGAATCCGCGGTTTCTCAAAAAATATTTGACAAATATCATTTTTGTTGGAATACTCCAGCGCAATATGTCTCAGTAATTAATAAGTCTTAATAAAAATGTATTTTTACGCGTTTCACGAGTTTTATTTAGCAATTGCAATTGCAAATTATAAAAAGTTAGTTCAAGTAGTTGTTGAGGTAAACTTGAACAGATGGCGCTACTTACTAAAATTTGTCTAGGTAGGCAACCCATATTTCAGTTGCATGAATACCAATACCAATTAACCTATTTTTTGACGTTTCTCAGTCAATGTCAAAAAAATGGCAATGGCAGTTCGATTTACAAGATTATCGAAGAATTGTTACGGTAAATATTAAAAATAATTTAATTTATTTAAACTTAACTAACATTTATTTAAAATAACCTAACATTGTTTATTTTTTGGCATGTTACACCATATTGTTACATAATAACAAAATTGATTGTAGGGGCCTTAGCGCCTGTTCTGGGTAATGGTCAAGTGGCCTGTTTCTCAGCAGGCCCTCCACCAGGCACACCACCACCACAAACCAAAACAAAGTTTGGCCCTTTGGCCGATGAAGATCGTATTTTCACAAACTTGTATGGTAAACATGATTGGAGGCTTAAAGGGGCCATGAAACGAGGGGATTGGTACAAAACTAAAGAGGTTTTATTAAAGGGAGCTGATTGGATCATAAGTAACTTTTAGATGTAATTTTAAGAATTTTTTATTATTTTTTTATTTTAGATGAAGTTAAAGTATCTGGTTTGAGGGGCAGAGGGGGAGCAGGTTTCCCCTCAGGTATGAAATGGTCTTTTATGAGCAAACCTGGAGATGGTCGCCCCAAATATTTGGTTGTAAATGCTGATGAGGGTGAACCTGGCACTTGTAAAGATCGTGAAATTATGAGGCATGATCCTCACAAGCTTGTTGAAGGATGCTTAATTGCAGGAAAAGCCATGGGAGCTAAGGCTGCCTATATTTACATTAGAGGAGAGTTTTATAATGAAGCTTCAAACATGCAGGTTGCCATTGCAGAGGTAAATACTTTTATTTATTTAATGTAATTTTTCTGTGTGAAATATTTTTGTGACACATTAATATTTAACTTAATATTTAAAAAGTTATGTGTATACATAAAATTAATGAACTGAATTTTAAATTTGTAATACAAATTTTAACATTAATTTTATGTGTACAGATAAAATTATATAACTAATTTTATGTCTACAATTAAAATTAATATGGGGCTGCAACTGCTGTAACTGCTTGTGTTTGATATAAGAAGTGGCGAAGTAGAATTTAGAGTGTGCTCCATACCAAACGGTCTTAGACCTAGGTAAACGGCTACCCGATACTGACGAGCTCCAAAAGAGCTAGACAGTCCGTCTATCGGTGCCGGTGAAGAGCACGTTTGAATTTAAACAAAAGTGAGACGAAGTAATCGCAATTCCTAAAATAGACGAATACAAATATTAAAATGATTTTAATGAAATCAATTTAACAAATTAATAAAATAAACTTGACATGTCAAAATAAGCAACGATCCAGTATGTAATTTTTTCATCAGTACCTTAGAAGTACTTCTATATCCAAAACGGGAAATTCTAAAGAAGTATTTTTATAAGTTTATACAGTAGGACTCTTTAAAATGCTTAATTGCGAAGTCAAAGAAAAGGGTTCCTCAAAAGTTCTTTTTTGAGAAGTCCAAATCATAAAATAGAGCTTAGGTAGACTTAATTAAGACGTCATATTGCTGTCTGGGAACCCTGCCTAAAAGAGATTTGACTTATGTACTTTATAGTATTAAGTTCATACCAAAAAAACTGATCTTTAAAATATGAAAACGTTCAATTTCCTACCTAAACAAGGTGCTAAATAGGAAGTCTATAATAAAAGGAAATAAAAGAACTGATCTTCCAACCTGACAAAAACCATTTAAGTTCCATCTACAACCTAAACAAGATTTGACCCGACGAAAACAATCTAAAAAAATAGAAAAGAGTGAGGGCCCTCCTCCTTTATCCGGGCTTGGGACCGGCAGGTTAAAAATACCTGGCGGAGTTACCCTCCACCCTCCTTATCATATTATATACCTAAAATTTCCTAAAACATAAAGTATTTAAATAAACAAAAACACGCAAAAAACAAATTTACTGGTTGTATACATACTCGCATATAAGATTCACTCGCACCCTGAAGTTCCAAGAAGTCCAAGATGTCCATGTCAGGTCCAAATGAAGGAATTAGGGTAATAGGAAGGGTAGAAAAGGAAAACGACAGATAATTAAGTTACAAATAGATTAGCGCCGGTGCGCAACAACATGCTCCACGTTAAAAACGGGTTAGCACGGATTACCGATGTTCCGAGACAAAATCCAAAAAGTACTTTCAAGATCCATCTACCATTTTAATTTAATTCAACAATCTGAAGATTGTGAAATTGAACTAAAATGGGTCTAAATGGAAGGAATAAAAAGGAGGGTTTTATAGGAAACTCCTGGGCGCCTGGTTCCATCACTATCTAAAACAGACTACAACGACGAAAAGAATTTAAAAAATATGTTCATCTACCCAAAAGCGAACAAATAAAGAATTGGTTTCATCTCCAACTTGAAATTTGACCTGGCGAAAAGAATTTAAACAAAATTTTGACCTATGATCCCTACAAAAACGAAGTAAAAGAACTGATCTTTAAAAAAAAGAATAAGTCCCATATCCAACTTAAAGAATTTAATAACAATTTGACTTATGACCCCTAACAAAAACGAACTAAAAGAACAAATCTTTAAAAAAAGAAAAAGTTCCATATCCAATTTAAAGAATCTAATAATAATATTACTTACGACCCCTAACAAAAACGAACTAAAAGAACTGATCTTTAAATAAAGAATTAGTTCCAGATTTGCCCTAACAAAAATAATCTAAAAAAAATTTTGATTTACGACCCGTAAGAAAAAAAAAACTGATCTTTAAAAAAGAATAAGTTCCATATCCAACTTAAAAAAACTAATGACAATTTGACTTACGACCCCTAACAAAAACAAAGCAAAAGAACTTATATTTAAATAAAGAATTAGTTCCATCTCCAACTTAAACAAGATTTGCGCTGACAAAAAGAATCTAATAAAATTTTGATTTACGACCCCTAAGAAAAAAAAAGAACTGATCTTTAAAAAAGAATAAGTTCCGTATCCAACTTAAAAAAACTAATGACAATTGGACTAACGACCCCTAACGAAAACAAACTAAAAGAACTTATCTTTAAATAAAGAATTAGTTCCATCTCCAACTTAAACAAGATTTGCGCTGACAAAAAGAATCTAAAAAAATTTTGATTTACTACCCCTAAGAAAAAAAACTAATCTTTAAAAAAGAATAAATTCCATATTTAACTTAAAAAAAATTAATGACAATTTGACTTACGACCCTAACAAAAACAAACTAAAAGAACTTATCTTTACATAAATAATTAGTTTCATCTCCAACTTAAACAAGATTTGCCCTTACAAAAAGAATCTAAAAGAGTTTTGATTTACTACCCCTAACAAAAAAAAGAACTGATCTTTAAAAAAGAATAAGTTCCATATCCAACTTTAACAAGATTTGCGCTGACAAAAAGAATATAAAAAAAAAATTGATTTACGACCCCTAAGAAAAAAAAGAACTGATCTTTAAAAAAGAATAAGTTCCATATTTAACTTAAAAAAACTAATGACAATTTGACTTACGACCCCTATCATAAACGAAGTAAAAGAACTAATCTTTAAATAAAGAATAAGTTCCATCTTTAACTTTAAACAAGATTTGACCTGACAAAAAGAATCTAAAAAACGTTTGACCTACGTTACCTACAAAAACGATGTAAAGGAAAAACTTATGACAATTTGACTTACGACCCCTAACAAAAACAAACTAAAAGAACTTATCTTTACATAAAGAATTAGTTCCATCTCCAACTTAAACAAGATTTGCGCTGACAAAAAGAATCTAATAAAATTTTGATTTACGACCCCTAAGAAAAAAAAAAGAACTGATCTTTAAAAAAGAATAAGTTCCGTATCCAACTTAAAAAAACTAATGACAATTTGACTAACGACCCCTAACAAAAACAAACTAAATGAACTTTAAATAAATAATTAGTTTCATCTCCAACTTAAACAAGATTTGCCCTTACAAAAAGAATCTAAAAAAGTTTTGATTTACGACCCCTAACAAAAAAAAGAACTGATCTTTAAAAAAGAATAAGTTCCATATCCAACTTAGAAAAACTTATGACAATTTGACTTACGACCCTAACAAAAACGAACTAAAAGAACTTAACTTTAAATAAAGAATTAGTTCCATATCCAACTTAAACAAGATTTGCGCTGACAAAAAGAATCTAAAAAAGTTTTGATTTACGACCCCTACCAAAAAAAATAACTGATCTTTAAAAAAGAATAAGTTCCATATCCAACTTAAAAAAACTAATGACAATTTGACTTACGACCCCTAACAAAAACAAACCAAAAGAACTTATCTTTAAATAAAGAATTAGTTCCATCTCCAACTTTAACAAGATTTGCGCTGACAAAAAGAATATAAAAAAAAATTGATTTACGACCCCTAAGAAAAAAAAGAACTGATCTTTAAAAAAGAATAAGTTCCATCTTTAACTTTAAACAAGATTTGACCTGACAAAAAGAATCTAAAAAACGTTTGACCTACGTTACCTACAAAAACGATGTAAAGGAACTAATCTTTAAATAAAGAATAAGTTTCTTCTCCAACTTAAACAAAATTTGACCTAAACAAATATTAGATATATTCCCCAACACCAAAACAAAACAAAAATTGCTTAAACTACTTTCCGCCAACGATGTTGGCATCTTCAGAAGCGAAGTGTAACTAAATCTAAATGCTAAATCCACCATATTTATAATAATTATAAGCTAAGGTTGACTGAACCGTAAACGGACACTGGACCGTAATCGCTTCAGTGAACATGTAAAGAGAAACTAACAAACTAATTTAAACAAACTAGACTAGGGTACCGGTCCGTTATCGCTATTCAAAGATTTATTTCTATTCTTATAGACGTATAAACCTTCATAACTATCTAGCAGACATGGTTCTTAACTTCCTTAATAAGTTTAAGGTTGTCAAATTCTATTCTATGACCATCATCAAGTATATGTTGGGCAATACTCGATTTCGCTGTCCTACCAAATCTAGCATTGGCCAAGTGCTAGATTTTGTAGCACAGAGAAAACGAGCGGATGTTGAGCAACATTCGGTTTCTCTGTACTACCAAATCTAGCATGGGCCAAGTGCTAGATTTGATAGGACAGAGAAATCGAGTGTTGCCCAACACATACTTGATGATGGTCATAGAATAGGATTTGCCAACCTTAAACTTATGCCTACTAGATAGTTATAAAAGTTTATACATCTATAAGAATAGAAATAAATGTTTAAATATCGATAACGTACCGGTACCCAACTAGAGTTTGTTAGTTTCTCTTTACGTGTTCACTGAAGCGATGACGGTCCAGGGTTTAGTAAACTATAATAATTAGTATAAATTTGGTAGATTTAGCATTTAGATTAAGTTACACTTCGCTTCTGAAGATGCCAATATTGTTGGCGAAAAGTACTTTAAGCACTTTGGGTTTTGTTTCGGTAACATATCACCAAGGAACAAGATTTGAACTGACAAAAAGAATCTAAAGAAGTTTTGACTTACTACCCCTAACAAAAAAAAAGAAAAATAACTGATCTTTAAAAAAGAATAAGTTCCATCTCCAACTTAAAGAATCTAATAAAAATTTGACTTACAACCCCTAACAAAAATGAACAAAAAGAACTTATCTTTAAATAAAGAATTAGGTCCATATCCAACTTAAACAAGATTTGCGCTGACAAAAAGAATCTAAAAAAGTTTTAATTTACGACCCCTAACAAAAAAAAAGAACTGATCTTTAAAAAAGAATAAGTTCCATATCCAACTTACAAAAACTAATGACAATTTGACTTACAACCCCTAACAAAAACGAAC